GCGGTCCCTCCACGCCCAGTGGTATAATAAAAGGCCTCTGGCCACAGATGCAAAGAACACATACAGCGTGCAGAGCCCTCTTACCTTAAAATGCCCTTGGGCAATAAAAGGAAATTGAAAATTTATGTATATATACATTTATATATATATTGTATTTTGTAATCAATAAATTCCTGGGGGGATACACACCTTGCTGATAAAAAAAGAATGTAAAGTATTGAAAAAATGTAACAAGCCTGTGTCGGTAATACATGTTACATGCTTACTAACATTACTTTTAATTGCGAATCCTACTTGCATACCTGTATAGCTCTTATCGTTTCCAACTTGGACAAGTCAGTCGAGGTTTAAAAATTAAGTTAAAAAGATTCATAATATTATTCAATATAAGTGTGTTAGTGGTTTCATTTTTTTTATAAAATCTCGATATTTTTATTCAATTTATGTGTATTTCCTCATCCAATATCTCCACCTGGATAATGCTATGAGAGTTAACACCATCATTTAAGGAGAAAACTGGTCTTACGATACTTGTGAGATCTTATACTTGATACTTAATCCGATACAACTTTCGAAACGAAAGCATTTTCACTTGGTGAAATATTGAGTATCGTTAAGCAGAGCTTTCTGTGTACTTCCATTTCAGCCTCTATTCGAAAGCGAATGTTTATGTCCCTCTTCGTTTCTTTAAATCAAATCCTCGTAATTATTCTTACTCTTAAAGAGATAAAACATATGTTAAAACGGTATAGGAAAATACTTTATTTCTTAATTGTTCACCATATGTTGATTTAATTTGTTGTTTTAAACGAACGAGTCATATTGTGTGTTCCAATATCTAGATTAAAAAACTCAAATTTTCAATCACATTCACTCTGTACTGATATTGATGCCGTCAGTAATGATTTGTGTCTGTGTATTGGTTTTTTTTTTTTTTTTTTTAGAAAACAAGTGCTTATCAAAGGGAATTCTTTTAAATGTTCGAGTATATTAAAGCATTTCCCAATTTTTTTCCTTTTTGGGTGAGAAGAGGGGTTCTCCCCTTCCTCGCTTTTAAGGCTACACGAGGTTTTCCCTGACCGGGAGGTGTGGGCGGAGATTTAAAAGACTCCACCGGGATAAGGGACGCGAACTCGTGACTATTTTAAATCAATTGTCTCATATATTAGGTATACCAGGCAGTACTATGCCCGTTCGACCACCCCGCATTTCTACTAAGCATTTCCCACTTTAACACTCTCGAGTATAGCGGCTACGGTTAGAATGTGGTCTGAGCGGGTTTAAATTTATTTAGGTGAACAGATCTCGATCTTCCCATTCAGGTTAGAATAGATTTATTTGTTCCTTTAGAACAGCTCTCACCCTCCTGTATGCCAAAAATGACATCAATGGTGAGATTGAGGGTAACCGAAAAAAATAAAACCAAAAGTCACCACCCACTGGAACATTACTGCACTGTACTTTGTTGAGCGGCTGCAACGATTCAATGTCTCCTATTTGTTCGGGGATATGTCAGCGACAATGAATCTCACCCGCACAGCAAGGAGCAGTATTGCTCGAAATATATATTGGGAGTTCATCCACCGCAGGTCTCTCTGTGTCGCCTTTAATTATAAGTAAAACTCGAAATAAACAAAAACGGAAAAGATTGTCGGTATGTAATTTATTCAACACCAATGAACCGTGACGTGATCGACTGACTGAAAAATGTCTGTATATTTGTAATTTTTTTATAAATAAGATTCACTGGTTTTGAATAAATTTAAGAAATATTAAGACTCAAGATAAGTGAAAAAAAAAATCGAATATTAGATGTTCTACTTCGCCAGTCAAATGATTAGATAACTACCTTCTGGAACATTTCTGATACAAGCAAATAACTTGTAGGCGTCAAGGTCGTCAAAGGTAAGCCTTAAATTGAAAACTAATACATGTTTAAATAATTCAAGATATTAAAAATTCCAAATTAGTTCAATATCATTTAAAACAGAATGGACCGTAGATTCTTATGATAAGATAAGCTGGTTGAAGGTTGTACTCATTGAAGTATACAAAAAATTATTATTTTCTTTGTGCCGACGTTCCGGTCTAAGTTTTAGTTCTTCATCATGGCTGTTCGTTCAAAAGTTGTATGTACTTAGACTACAATCACTAATCAACTTCTCTTTCTATAAAAATGAAATAGTTGTTTTAGGAGTAAACAAAAACAGGATAATAATGCTAATTAGTTTCTCATTAGCAAAGATGAGTCATATAATTAAATCTATTTAAATGACAAATAAATTTTATTTACAACTGCTTATTAAATAAATTTCTTCATTTTAGGGGTATGTTATCACGTTATGAGTGACATAGTTTTTGAAAACACTATCGAATTTGCGTCTACGATTACTCTCGCGATATATTATCGATTAATTCTATTTTTTTGGATTTCTTCGATTTAGTGGTCAGTTATGTTATCGAGGGCGCAGGTTTTGAGAACGCTATCGATTATAAGATTACTCTCTTTCTAGTATCGATTTATAATCAATTACTATCTACTTTTCGGATTTTTTCGATATATAGATCTATTCTTATGCTATTAGAGGTATATTTTTTGAAAACACTATCGAACAGTTACTTATATTTTATGTTGAGGCTATATCAATAAATTTATATGATTTTTTAGTGCCATTGTTAAAAGCGGATCTACGGGGAAGAAGGAACTTTTGTGCTGAAGCTCCCCCCCCCTCCAAAATGGTAAAATATAACCATGCTTTACAGTAAAAAATATTAAAAACTATCTCTTAAAGTATTCTTGTTCCTGTAATTACATTTAATAGGATTCAAGAACCACTTAAACACCATTTCATATAGGTAGTTAATTTCTTTCTTCTTTTTTTTTCAAATTAATTATCCTTATATGTATATGAAAAAAAAATCTTTCGGGCTGAAGCTTTCCCAAAATTAAATCCTGGATCCACTAGTGGTTAAAGGAAATTCGGTAGTTATCTGTCTGACTGAACTTTCCTTCCTGACTGAACATACACATTGTGATAGCAATCAGAAATATCACCTAATTAAAATGTAGCTTTATGAATTTCGAATTACTAATGATGAAGTAAGGTTTATGTGAATTTACATTATGCCTATTTAATGAGGTTATTGAAAACTATGGATATGATTTTTATGGATTTTGACTTATGGCTTATTTGGTTTCGGTTTACTGCATAGTGCGTACAGAATATATTATTTAATCTATCCGAAAAGTTAAAATTATTTTATAAGAGAGAAATGAAAAGTCGATAGTGTTTTCAAAAACTAAGCCCTCTATAACAATATAACAGATCCCTAAAATGAATAAATCGAAAAAGTTTAAATTAATTGATAATAAATGTATGCGGGAGAGAGTAATCGCAAAATTTATATTATTTACAAAAACTAAGCCTCCGATAATATCATAATAAACCAACACTGTAAAAACTTAGTATCAGACGTCCCGATACTCAACGGTACTCAAAATTTGTCAAGTAGACCTGTAAAACACTCCTAGAACTAGTGTTCCTCAAATGCGAGACCAAGGCTCGTCTTGGTCTTGCGTACTCAGTCTAAGTCTCGGTCTTAGTGTTGCGCAAGAGTCTTACAGTTACATAATAGCTTATTACTATAGAGATATTACTGTAATTTTTTAGAATAAGGAAACATAACTAACCCCGAATGAAAAATTGGAAGAGTTAAATGCAAAAGTATATTGGTTCTAATAATCCTTTACATATAGCAACTAAAATTGTCTTTATTTTGCCGTAATTTCTATTCTCAAAACTGATTTTTTTTTTTTTGCTTGTTTTGGTCAAGACCTGTTTTGGATTGTTGCAAGCAACAATTAGGCGGTCCTGGTCTTGGTTTTGCAACCTTGGTCTTGGTCTTGCAGTTTTGCCGAGACCGCCTTATTTGATGCTAGACCAAGAGCAAGACTAGAACCTGAAAGACTTGCAAGACTGACCTGCGAGACTCTTGCGGTCTTGCAGTAAAGTCAAACTAAAACTATTTTTATATATAGTACGGTGCTTAAACAACACGGTGGGGCACAGGGTCATTAATCCTATCCCGTAAAAACCAACAGAATGGAGACATTTACAAAAGGTTTTCAACCATTCTGAAGAAGAGGAAGTGATTTGTGATCGCGTCCAGTTATTATCAACCACGTGCTCCCTGGATATCTATACAAGAGAACCAAACTATCACAGCTGTCGCCTAGAATAGCCCCAAAGCTACTAGTCAAATAAGTCAATAGGCATTAGAAAAAACATATTTAATAATTAGCAATCAGCAAGTAATTAAGTGCTAGACTCTAGCGCAAGACAAGACCAAGACCAAGACTGATTGTGCAAGACCAAGACTAAGACCGCCTCGGTATCGTCTTGGCCTTACGTTTGGGCAACACTAAACACTACTTAGAACACGAGGACGTGTCGCGGATATGAATCGCTGCAGGACCACATTGGACTCGATTCATCTCCGCAACAAAAAGATGAAACATTGACCAATCTGGACTTGGCTTATTATTAGGAGCCACCTGGTTTCTATTGATTGTAAATATTCCTGCCAATACTGACAGTTTATATTCCTGAGTATCTTCAATTACATTATACTCTGTATTTCAACTAGAAGGTAATACATGTTTTATATGTTTCAGGTAATGAAATAATAATATTTATCATGACCTAAATATAATAGTTCGTTCGAAATTAGCTACACTCTAAATTTTCCTGCCTGTGACAAGTGCCCATACCTCCTCACTCCGCTGCTGACCTATTGCGATTTAAAACCTCAATTTTTAATACCTTAATATTTCTTAACATAATTTTCTACTTCAATTATTTCTTAAGATTGTTTTCTTATTTCTTAAGAAAATCATGACATGTTGAACGCACAATAGAACTGTGTTAAAGTAGTTGTTATTATTATTATTTCCATGCCAATATCTCCTTTCTTCATCTTGAAAGTGAACTAACAATTACCTTGTTTTGTAGCTACCGTCAAGACTCTGCTGTTTGCTGAGACTGATGATGGGAATGGGCGTAACGAACTCCTTGTTGGTGTTTGACCTTCCCGATGACCTGAACTGCTTCTGTTGAGGCTGGAACTGAGGACGCGGTTGAGGTTCCACTTGGAATTGTGGCTGAAGGATGGTAGGCGGCGGACCTTGTAGCTCGTGCGATGGCAGGAACTCCTCGGAGTGCACCTCAGCTTGCTGCACTTCTACCTGGGAAGCTGTTGCTGCCGTTGGTGGTGGCAAAGTAGGCCTCGGGATGGATATGGGAGGAATGAAAAGCTGTTGCTTGGACAAGAGGGTGATTGGTCGGCGGAGCTTTGCGAGTTTCTGTCCATTGCTCAGCACCACTGCGCACAAGACGAGAAACGCCTGAAAATAATTGAGTTATATCGTATCATAATAAGAAATCAATCAAGAAAACTATACAAATCAAACTTAATTTTAAATAACATATTAAACATCTTAAACGAATGGTATTCTTCATTAATTTGATTTACAACCAGTTGTAGGAATGGCTACTCAGAAACAAACATGATTGTTTTTTTATTTTTAGGGTATCAATAGGTTCATTATCACTATCAACAAACCGTAGAATAAAGAGTTACTTTCTTGCCGATTTAACAGAGACAAAGCTAAGGTGTGTGCTTTCGACCAACGATAGAAGTGAAAACATCAATTAATAATATGAGATTAATAATATGAAATATAAATTATAAATAATAGCCCTTTGCAGAGAGTATGAAATGCTGAACAATTCCTCTGCTTAAAGTAAGCAGGTCCGATTTTTAGTTTCTGACATATTTTAATCTATTTCTTCAATAAAACTCGTTATCATTTTGTTTTCGATACTATTTTTTCCTCTTCGCCTCCCTTACATGGCATCCCGTTAAGATACCATTTTGAATAATAGCTCATCACAAAGAAGATGTAATGATGAACATTTCCCTTGCCAACAATATAATAGTCTGATTTTTAGTTTTTGAAATATTTTAATCGATATGCAAAAACACTTCGTAGATCTGACGCCTCAATCTAATTCACTCGCCACAAAAAAAAAGTACAAAATGCTCTAATAGAAGTTTTCACTTCAAAAGATTTTTTAACTTGCCTACTATGAATAAGCCTAAATGATTTAATTAGAAACAAATCTTTCAATCAATTTAATCACCTCATTTATATGCACAACCTGAAGTAAATCTAATAGTTTTTCGAAATTAACCTCAACGTAATTAATATGAAAATAAATCTTATTAAACAAGGAAGATTTCCTTAATAAGGCGTATCTTTAGTATAATTTAAGGATGATAAAATAAAAAATCGTAAATAATTAATGATTTTTTTAAAAATAGAACTTAGTTTATTCACTTTCAAAAGTTCTCTTTAAATAGCTTTAACAACAACAAACTCTACTTTCGTTTAAAGTAAATTTTGTCTAGTTTACTTTGAAGCAGTTGTTAACTACTAAAATTAAATATTTTTTTAATTATAGTCACTCCCTATTCATCAAGAATCACGTCACAAAAAAACTAAACCTAAATTTAAATATTTTCTACCCAAAATTAGTCCATAATTTATATATAATTTTTTTTTGTAGTTGTTGAGGTCTGTTAGCACCCATTTAAATATGTCCAACCACTTACGGAACAACCTGCGTAAATTTATATATTAACATTACTATTATTGTTTAAATTGGTAATTAGGCCATTGAATGTAATATATAAGTCAGTAAAATAATACATTTAGTATGCATATATATATATATATATATATATATATATATATATATATATATATATATATATTCAAATGATTACCAATACAATGAGCACATATGTTATAAGTATATCCAGGCATCTATATATATATATATGTATATATATATATATATATATATATATATATATATATATATATATATATATATATATATATATATATATATATATGTATGCTTGCATATCTTTATAATGTTCAATGTACTTTTATGATTCGAATGAATAAAAATAAATATTTCCTTTCTTCATTCATTGGCACTAGTATTGGTGTGGCATAACAGATGAGAATCTAAAACTACAGCATAATATTATTCTTTCAGGATGAAAGCGGTACTACAAAAAATTGTTAATAATTTTAATGGTAGGACCACCAATATCTCAAAGTGGAGTCAGCTTTCAAATATGACCAAACTTACAAACAAAATAGTATTACATTATCTTGTTATAATTTATCTTATCTAAAATTATTTTTTTCAATCTTTGTTCCCTCACAGCTTCAAAAAGTTTCTAAGTGCCTTAATATTAACTTTATCAAACAGTGTTATCACTATCATTCGGGAAGATATAATGTTTCAGATCTACATTAAAAACACTATTATGCAACCATAACAACAACAAAAAAAGATAACAAATTAATAATGAAAAAGAGAAGATGGGTTTTCCCAAGTTTGAAATTTCAATAAATTTGCCAGAAAAAAAAAAAAAAACAAGACTAAAAAAACTATAGCATTTAAGAGGGTCCACAGCCCTACTATTATTACCTGTTGAGATTACCTAAAAATTATAAGACATTAGACCCTTAAATATATATTAAATATATATATATATATATATATATATATATTTCTGTCGACTAGATCTAATGCTACCAGACCAAGTATTAAAAACTATGGTTCATTATTTATTTAATTTTTTTTTTTTTGGTCCTTACTGAAATGTAGCATTTTCAACATGATTTCATCACATAAGACACAAAATGGTCTCCATTTTAAAAATCATCTGAGGGCAAGCTTTGAATACTAAATCTGTTCCAGATAAAGACAAAACGTTTTGGGAAAGCACAATTTTCAGTGTAATTTTAAAACAAACCAATGGGATGGTCTGCATGCCCTGCTTGTTCTGATACGTGACTGACTGGTTCGGCCTGTTTAAAAAAATGAACTTTTCACTTTAACTTAGCCCATTGTAATTTAAAAGTTGAGTTTCTCTTTGCGGCTTCTAATAGCGTGGTTTCTACTACAAATTACAATACGTGAGTTTAACTGCATTCATCATTATTTTTAATTTTTAAATTATCTACTATGCTAAATATGATTTAAAGGTTTTTAGTTAAAATTTAACGTTCCGGACTATTATATTATTTCGCCCATTTTTTTCGGCAACATTGTTTATGGCGAACTACTCCATTAAATTTAATTTAACATACTCCAGCCATTGTTAAAAAAACAAAACAAATAATAAAAAAAAATGTGAAGCTTTTATAATGGAAAAAATAGCATTTCGATGTTTAATTAAAACTATAGTTTAATTACGTATAGTATTAGACATGACTATAATAGTTTATTAATTTTTAATGTCAGACTGTTGGTGAAGCAGAGAAGAACTGAGACATCAGAAAAGAGAATATAATCTATTATAATGTATAATCATATGATATGATTTATAATTATAAATTAGAGTTCTTTGGTTCAGTATATTCTGGTGATGGGGCAGTACCCAGCAGCGTCCAAAAAGATATTTTAAATTTCAATAAATAAAAGCAAAAATAAATATATTAGCATTTCATTAATTATATATATTTACATGTACGTATATAATTTCTGTTTAACTTATGTCTGGAAGAAATATCATAAAATCGTAAAATTACAACTAATTATTTTCATATCGACATGGAAAAAAAAATCTACTTTAATTTTGATTTATTCGTTAAATACAAGTATATTTTATTGATGTATATATATATATATATATATATATATATATATATATATATATATATATATATATATATATATCAATTATTTAATTCTGAAAAACTTTAATAGAATTTTACCTTGTTTTATGGCTCTGGATTTGACATTTATTACCTCTGAATTTTCAATACAAACGGAAAAGAAAATACCTTAGATGGAAAAATTATTAATATAAATAGGGATCAATGACAACAGGTTTTGCTAAAATCGACTTAACGAAAGTGGCACTTTGTAAAATCCATTATATACATTTCTGAAATTTTCTCAAAAAAAGCTATAAAGATTTTTTTTAAATTCATTATATTATATCACTGTAAATTTAAGTTTTCTTTAAATATTAGATAGATTTTATTCCCAATGAAATAATTAACCTCTTCACATTATAGCTAGGTTACAAATAATTGTTTAAAACAAACTATGAAAGAGTTTGATAACTAACTAAAGAATAAATGAACCTCTCTGTTGATAGACTGACTAACTTCAATTTAAACATCTTTTATTATTAATTTTAGTGATATTTCAATGGTGATAATTTATATATTTATTCACAGTTCTATATTTCAACAATATAATCACCTAATCTGGAATCAACTTATGCCATCATTTATAATATCAAGTACAGATATTATAAATGTTCAAACTAGAAATATCACTGAAATGCCTTTACTAAAAAATGTTGAAATTGGAGTTAGTTATTCTATCAACTGAAATAAGGGATGCTAATGTGTGACCGAATAAACGCATACTTGGTCGAAAGATTAGGGTAGGCTTCCGTAACACATGCTTAATATAATACGGGCTTTGATAATACTATATACATAATAATGTGCAGTTTTCATAAATGCTAACGCTGCTATTATTTTGTATTTAATTTTATAGATTACAGCAATATAAAAATTAAAATTTTTATATAAACCAGTGCTCAAACAAATGCAAATACCCACCATAACCACCATGAAACTACATAGGGTTCTTGTTTATTACTGGCTCTCATGTCGGACTAAAATTCGTGGTACTTAATTATTAACTGTAATTAAAAAAAAAAATTAAAATATACAAATGTAATAGGAAATTATTAGAGACAAAGAACAAATTAACTGTTTTAAATAATATGTTTTATCATCTGTAATTTTTTTTATATACTCATATCTCTGAAAATACCTACTTCTACTAATTTCTGATGCACGTTCTGTTCCAGATAAATTTTAAATTAAAAGTCGTAATAAAATTTTCAACAAAATCACGAGCTTCTTTCGACCTATTCTATTAATTATTTGTTTCGTACAGGAATATATTTATTTAGTGAAATCAAAAATGATTAAGAAAAGATCCCGGTTGTATTAGGACATTCATTCATTCGAATAGTATAATAAAAAATAAAAATAAAGTTAGCATATACTTCCAATAATGAAAACCACGTTAAAAAACAAAACAAAAATCAAACTATATACGATCGTACATGTATACTGAGTGGCTTCGTATCAAAGACGGACATCTGTAATTTTCAAAAAGTGGGGAAAAAGCCAAGTTTTGTTTTATAGCTGTTTCTGACGATTTCATTTAAGTTTCAAGTTGATTTATGAAACAAAATCATTAGAACTAGTTTTAATTGAAGCCACGTCACAAAAATTGTTTTTTTTTTCTCAACTTTTTAAAAATTACAGAAGTCCGTCATTAATATGGAGCCACTCAACTATTTTTAGACGGTTCCTCATGAGCAGCTTTTGAATAATGCTTATTTATATATATTTAAAATATATTGTTTTTTTTTTATTTCAATAATGTAATACAAAAAAGAAAATTGTCAACATTTTCACACAAATAACTGGCAGAAACAAAGCAGACCAACATACTGCATACTCTTTTGGATATGCAACATATGCAAGATATTTATTTTAGTGGTTCAGTTCCATATTTTCGCAAAACGAAAAATATTTGTTGTTGAATAATAAAAATAATAAATATAACTTTAAGGAACTCCGTAATTAACTGACATTCATAAAATATTTTTGATGTGAATATATTTGTAGTAATTTAAATATTCATTGGTTCAATAGCTGACATTATATCCTCTTGATTTTTATCATTTTTATATGGTAATTTTCCATCACTATTTTGTTTCTTATATTTGATAATTATAGTAAAATCAATGTTTATGGAAAACGTTATTGAGCTACTTACGACAGTTGTAGTCTGTAGGCCCATGCTGTGACTAGTAGAGAAGAGATCCATCCTGCTTCTTTATATACCAACGGCCCCACCTCGAGCCGTCTTCTTCGCCGGTACATCCGCGGATCTGCCATATTATTCTCTTCGTAAATTTATAATTATAAAAATAGTAAATGATTTGAATATATTATTATGATTATTTCAACTAGAAATCAGTCACAAAATCCAAAATAAATAATTGCTTCCGTTAACTTAGCTCTTATCAAGCAGGAAAAGATTACTTCTTAAAGAAATGACATTATCTTGACAACACGATTAATAACCATTCTTTCTATATATAGAATTTTTAATTACTGGGAAATGAGAACATTTTCTAAAAATAAAAACTCATGTATAATTTTCAAAAATTTCCAATATGAATCGGATCACCTTATGGACTGAGTACAGAAAGCTTCTGGCATTCTTGTAACCAACAAAATAAATAACGGATAAGTATTGAATTTAGAAAGCGTAAAGAGCTGGGAAGACAGAGATTCAACCATAGATTTACGGAAAGAAAACATGGTAAATCAGCTAATGGTAAATCAAAAATAGAAATGAAGTGGATTATTAAGTGAGTTGGGGGAGAGAAAAGCTGATCACGTGCAGGGGTGTTCACAAGGGGGTTCCATGGCCCAAGTTGCGCCTTCAAAATTTTTGAGGAGGGCACATTTTGATGAGGTTTTGAATTTTGAGGGGAGCACACTTCGATGGAGTAATGAACTTTCGAAATGAAAAGTTTTAAAACAAAAGACCAGTGAAAGCATAGATATAATCTACGATCTTATATATAATCTAAAATCTATTTTTGTTTTTAAGAAGAGGAAAGCAATAAAATATCTTAGGAAGGATAGGGGAAGGTTCATGAGCCATCGACCTTGGGAGGAGATATGAGCACCTCTTATCACGTGCCAAAACTTTTATACTGAGAAATCTAACTAAAGCTAGTTATGTATTAAAATCGAGGTTTTCAACCCAAAGCTACCACATGTAAAGATAAAAACGATAGAACGTTTGAGAAAAAAAGGTTTCTCCTTATTATTAGATGGGCTCAGCATATCAGTGCAATCATTTTAATAGTATAGAATGACGGAAATAATAGCAAGCCACCAGTCTTAAAAGGTTCTTTATACTCTTTATCATTCATCTGGAGAAAAATCAAAAGAAAAACACAGCGAATTCTTAAAAAACTGAGATATTAAACAAATATAATTATATTCTCAAATTTATTATTTCGAGGAATATATATTTTAACCCATATTTACTTCATAAAACTTTATTTCATTTTTGTATTTTGACGACGTTTCAGGCAATATTGTCCGTTTTCAAGTCAAAAATTGTATGGAAGATATTTATATAATACACAAAAATATTTTTGTCTCAAAAATTTCCTTAAAATTGAATAAAGTGTTTTCAATGGCAAAATTATCCACTCAAGACATGAGTGTATGTGGCTATAGCGATCTCGCTCAATCTCCACTGGCTTCAGCACTAGTGACACGGTTGAGAGAGTCCAGGGCTTTCTTAGAGTTCTGCATTTCTCTCCATAGTTGGAGGGACAAACATGGCTTGGGGTTCCCTGCCGGATTGTAAATATTGTATATAGGTATGTTTGTGTTTTTTATTTCATGTTATATATATATATATATATATATATTATATATATATATATATATATATATATATATATATAATTTGCTGTTTAATTTATTTTTATTTAACGTACTTAGAGTGTGATCTGTTAACACTATTATAAATGTCCTCTGAGACAGATTGTATTATTTCTCAATAAACAAGTTCTAAAAAAAAGTGAGGATAGTCCAAAAATTATACAAAAAACTATTCAAATGCTAAAACATTTTTGTCTCGATTCATTAAAAGCTGAATGTCCACTATGAGTTATGAGCAGACTCAGAGTTGGATGCGAGACGCCAGAGAGGCCTCTCGGATGGAGATATAACTGGCCAAGAGACAAATGGAACAGCATTGTTAAGGAGAATAAGACCATCCTAAAATAGACGAGACATTAAACACCTAAAATACAGTAAAATTGCAAACGAAATTGAATAAATTAGGTTTAAAAGTATTTAACATAAAAAACTTTTTATTATACTTACTACACCAAACCTCAAATAAGATCAGCCATTAAAAAGATGAGTTTTCTTCTTTTTTATAATAAAAAAAATACATTAGCTATATTCAAAGGCAATAAAACAATCATTGACACGTTTTCTGACATCACAAATTCATATTGACCTAGGCAGGAGTGCCCATCCCCTTCCTCAAGGTCGATATCGCATGCTCCACATCCCCTCTCCTCCCAAGATATTTTCTGCTCTCCTCTTCTTAAAAAAAAGTGCAAGCGAAATTAAAATTTAAAAAATTTTGATCAGATACAATTACAATTGATGCTATCTATCTGTTCCATGTTTCCTTCCTGTCTCTCGATTTGAAACTTTTCATTCCGAAAATCATAATCCCGTCGAAATGTGCCCCCCTCAAAAATTTAGATAGTGCAACTTGCGCCACGAAACCCCCTTGTGGGCTCCCTTGGATCTAGGAGACTGATTTGTCATTTCTGTTTCCAATCGCTACAGTAAAAAATTTTGAACTCAAATTTTCGAGTAGCATTGGAGCTATGAAAGAGTTTTATGAATATAATGAACAATTTCCATTTTTTTTTTCCTTTGAAATGCCGAACTAAACTATAATATCAATTTTTTCATGTGCATAGGATTATTTTTACCTCTTTTACTCGAATAATCGAAGCGGATATATGTTATTTTGGTTTTTTGAGTAACCTAGGCTCATTAAAATTTCTCGTACATAAAAAATTTAAAAACCTGCTGTTAACTTTTCCTGTAATTAATTTTTCTTGATTTATATTTTTTAGTCATCTGAATTTTAATACTCTGATTACAAAGTATTTTTGAATTCGCAACAGCTGGGAAATTTATGAGTCAGTTTTGTTTCTCATCTTTCGAAAGCTTGTCCTAATGTAAATAGTGGTACTCATGACAGTACTTTCCAATGAACTCTTGATTTAATCAGTCAACATTTAGTACTCACAAACATAGCGCGATAACGCTTAGGGCGATTATCAAAGAAAATGCTAATCGGTATATTTACATAAAATACATAAAATTGTATTTAAAATGGATATATTTCATATCTTTAACCATTATACTCGTCGTTATGCTTTAAAACGGTTACTAAGTGAAGTTTTCGTTATTACTATAATGATATCTAATTATTGGTTGAACCTCAATCCTTAATTTTCATTTTCATTCACCAAGAGCACGAAGATTTAGTTTTACATGATCAAAGTACTTCGGCTTGCTGGTTTTACAGCATGTACTTTGGTTATACTCTGATACTTCCAAACTCATTTTAATTGTTTATTTGCTTTTGCTAAATTTTAATAACAATACTAAATTTTATAATACTGTAATTTTATAAAAATTCTTTATAATACTTAAACCTTCTCATTGGAAGAGGTAAGAGTCTGAAAAGATTTATTAATAAAAAAAACGCTGCAAATTATTACACAATAGTTTATTATTTCCAATCATTCATATATCATATGTGGCACTCCTCTCCTTGTCACATAGAGGAAAATAAATAAATGATGATTCCTAATATAGGCCTAAATATTTCTTTTCAAAATTAATAATTTGCTAAGAAATATAAAAAAAAAATCTCGATTGCTTCAGCTGATGTAAGACTTTTCCAAAATAAAAACAAACAACACTACATCTTTGCATCAAATCGTTCAATTTCCACGATACTTATTTTGTTGTTTGTTTTTTGAAAATTTTGTGATCTTTTAAATGACCATATAAAACCACAAAAAAATGTATATATTTTTAGTTATTTTTCCATCCCTCATGACTTTTTTTTTCAGCTTTTATTCGGTGAAATATGTTAAACAGATTAATTATTTGACAAGTTTTGAGGCAAAAAAACAACTTAAATTGAAAGGGCTTCAAAGCATGAGACTGCAGCCAAGTTTCATCGAAATCTGTACATTATTTTGGCGGTACAGTCTATACAATATAAGTTTTTCGGTCACCATCTTGAAAAGAAAGAGCGGATGGTAATGCCGAGTTCCGGGGAACATTCTCGGGAACTGACATTCATATCGATTCGGTTGATAACCGATTGATAATCAATCGGTATATAGTTCGGAGAAAAGCCGCGGAGAGTATCCGAACGGGTTTTTTATTTTATTCGATTTTACGTATCTTGAAACGTGAAATCTTAAATTTTGAGGGTGATTAACTTTTTTTTCTTGTTCGATTAGAAAGGGTGAGTAATGAAAATAATAAACTATTATAATAAAAAATTAATAAACAATTTTTTTTTAATGATGTAGAGATGGTTGACCGTTGATATAATATGAGAAGGAGTTAGTCGGGGGTGCGGTCAAATAAATACCAAATTAAAATATAGTAATTATTTTAATTTTTGCCGACGTTTCGACCCACTTTGCAGGTCGTCTTCAGGGCTATAAGAGACACAAAACATGTTGAAGATAAAAAATAAATCTAAGTAGATATAAAATAAGAAGAAGTTGTTAGATACAGAAATAAAAGATGATATCAGAGATATAGTGGGTGACAATGTAGTTAAATATTAAGTATTATATATGTAGAAGATACAAATAAATGGAATATAAGTATGAATAAAAATAAAAATAAAGGAGAATATAGCATGTAAGTTAAAAGTAAACAGATTGCGATAAAAGATAAGGAATAAGTGTATAACAAACTAATAGGGATTACATTAGATAACTGTGGGTTAACAGATTTTTTTTTTTAATTTTATAAAATCATTGAAGCATTCAAAATAAATACAATGTTTTATAGGACATTCATTTTTTTTTTAAGTTAGCTAATTTTGTTTGCTTGACTATATATAAAAAAAAAGGTTTTATTGAATTAAATAATATTAAATAAATGAAATAAGTCGAACAATTGAAATAATTTGATGAATTAACGATTTTATAATCATTCGAGATCGTA